ATGGATGGATGGATGGATGGATGGATGGATGGAAACATGTTTTTCTAATATTTTCTTTTCCAAAGCTAGCTCGATTAGTTCATATTTAGGATATATGTAATAAACCACTAGTGATAAAGGGCCCCTTCTGTTTATGCTTGATTGATTCATAGGGTATATAGGTGGTTTAAAAAACAGAAGGAACTAAAAAAAATACCTTTGATGTTTATCAAAGTAAAAAGGATAAATACCGTTATTACAGATACGATATTATCACTTATACATTTATTACTGCACCATATTTTTCTATATAGTAAGTACAGTGGTTATATTGTAGGGAACATGCAGGATCACACATTTTTAGTGACCTACTATGCATACAACAGTCTCCCTGAGGCTTTGTTGACACTTTTTGTCTCTCCAGAGATTTAGATGGTAACCCTGCCAACCCACGTGTGTCTTAAATACCCTCACAGCTGTCATAGTAGGTGCCCATATGGCATTATTCAATCCCCTTAACACCGGATAACCATGACAATGGGAATCCCGGGGTCGCATACCGTAGTTATCGTTGTGGGACTGGCAGGACAGCAGCAGGTTATAATTAGATTTATTTTCATCAGATAAATCCCCTGGGAATGACCTTGGTATTCTTTGATGGAAAAGTCCAAGGCAGCTGTGCGTGCACCTTGTCCCAGTGTGCCCCCTTCAGCAAGAAGGAAATGGTGTGTGTTGAGTGCTAACACTCGTTCAGAGATAACACTGTTGTTAACAGCTGCCAAGTGTGAGATGAGCTGAGAGGCTTGCTGTTTAAACTGCCAAACCCTTTTCTTAGCTCAAGTATAACAAACAATTGAGGCAGCCACAACCACGGCACCAATTTAAATTTTTTTTTTTTTTGCAGCCCCTTTAGTTTACCTTCATTGGTCAACAGCAGGGCCAGCCCAAGGCAAACTAAGCAGCTGCTTTGGACCCAGGGTGCCAAAAATGCAAGTACTATGTTTTTTCTTTTGGATGTTCAGTTTTGCTTTGCTCTTTGTTCTAGAGTTTTATATACATACATATATATATATATATATATATATATATATATATATATATATATATATATATATATATATATATATTGTTTATTTCTTATTTTGTTGTGTTCTTTGTTTTTTTCTTACTTACTGTCTTAGTCTTGGTTCTGTTATGTTTTCTTTTGAGTATTTAGTTTTACTTTGCTACTTTGCTTTTACTTTGCCATGTTTTTATAGTCTTAGTGGTTTAATTCCTATTTCGTTGTGTTTTTCAGTCTTCCAGGTTTTTATTTGTGTTCTCCTTTTTCCTTAGTTCCCTTTCTGTTGTGCTCTCTGCTCACCTGTTCCCAATCTGCTCATTAGCCCTCTCTTTGTTTCTGTCTTCTATAAATGCTCTCTATCTTCAGTTCCTCTTTGCTGGGTCCTTGTCTAACTTCCTCCAACTCGTCTCTCTGAGCCTTCCTCCTTGTTACAGTGATTCCCCTGATGTCTTCATGATTTTTGGTACGTTTTGACTTAGTTTTCATTTTGTGGATTTTGGATTACCTGCCTCTGTTTTCAGTTCAGTTTTATTAAATCACCAAGAAATCTCACCTCTGCCTTCATGCCTCTGCTTTCTGGTCAACAAACCTAACCAAACCCTGACAGAAACACAGACAGATGATGCATGTCAAGTTGGAACTAAAGCCATTTGAAAAAGAACTAGATTAAAAAAAAGGTAAATGATACAATTGTAGCTAATTGCTGATTGCTTTATAAATCTAAAAACATATGAAGGTGTGTACATTTGCATGTGTCGCACATGTTACATGTGAAGAAAAAAGTGTATTTTTGTTCAATTCTGTGAGTTGGGCTGTTTGTTTTCATGCAAGGGATTGTGGGAATCCGTATAGCTCCTAGCACCAGATACAGTAGTGTTTTGGAAGCTTCCTATGCTAGGGGAACTATCAATAGGAAACATGCAGCTTCCTTTCCTACCTCCTTCCATACTAACAGAACTTATCATAGTGCCTTCTGATTCTCTTCCACTTTGACTTAAGAGTCCTCAACAATTTGCTGTGTCTGTAGAGGCTTTGGCTAGCCTCTTGCCTAGTCACCAATGAAGACACCCCCAACCTATCTGCCCCCTGAAAAGACAAATATTAAAGGTATAGTGGAGGATGTTCTTTTTCCAGGTCGATCATCAAAATAAGTGGTCCTCCTAACTGTCAATCATTTTGGTGATACGTTTCAGTAGGGCCGTCAATCATGCTCGTCTCCATTTTCACTTACCAGTGGTTAGTCTGACGTAGAGGAAAAATTGCCAATCTTCTTTTTGAAAGTAAGCTTGTAAACAGCAACTTTTAAACAGAGCGTGCACAATGAGAAATGGCTTCATGCACGCTCTTGCATGCTTTTAATAGACGTTCTGGGTACAGGGTTGTGCATTTCCTTTTTTTTTTAAGTGGAGAGGGCGGGTCTTTTGAAAACTTTGCGAAAATCCTCCAATATACCTTCAAGGTATCAACAAATGGTAGAGCGATGGAGGTCTAATGTTGCTTTCCTCATAGAACAATGTACCATTTTGTGTTGTTTTTTTTTTTCACAAAGAACATCACTTTTAAAAAGAATTGCAGCAACATATGATTCTAGAAAGAATTCAGAAAAAGCCCAGCACATTATTCTGAGTTATCTTTTTTTTTTTTTTTATGTCAAAAACATTTCCTCTCCTCTTCACAATCTGGCCCCCAAAAAACAAATATGAATTCTAGTTATCAATCTAAAAAAATGCATAATGTTTTGGTTATAAATGCATTAATAAGACACCAAAAGTTTTATTTTCGATGGTCTGTTTTTGTTATTCTTCTCTCCTCAGAGTTTGACCTGGATACATCTACCGTTTCCAATATTCATCAGATGATACCAGGATTGTGTTTGGAACAACTGCGACCCATCGAGTATCTACAACAAGGACTCAAAAATAACTCCCTCTGTTGTGTATGGAAGGAAAGAGAGACTCTGTAAGGTTATAGATGGAAAATACTCCAGTGGACGATACTGTGGAAAATAACAGCCTCTATTTGTCTTTTACTTGGTGTGTGACATCAGTCTGTGTGTATGTGAGCCATGGGCGGTCCACTGAGGATGGACTACTTTAGGAGCAGAAGTTGTCTCCGGCTGAAGCTGAAAACTGGACAACAGTGAGCAGAGAAAACAACAGAGGTGCAGCAACAAGAAGGAAGAGCTTCTAGCAAGCTGAGGGCAAGGAGGAGAGTCAGCGGTCAGAGAGGACACAAAAACAAGAATATATGAACAAGTTCTTCAAAAACACCAGGTAATACTGGCTCAGATGAATATTTCCATCCATTTTCTTAAAATGGGAGTAAGAAAATCTGTTGGTGCTTATTGAGGCATCTTAAGAAGCTTTAGCCTTAATTTGACCTGAATTCATCAAAGTTGCTGCAGAAAACAACTTAATGTTTTCATGCAAATAGACCTCAGAAAATAGCGTAGTTAGCAAATATTATGCTGCCAGTTATCTCTTGAAATAGTTATTTATTTCAATGTGATCTACCTGAATAAAAAAAAGGTTTCCCATTCATTAATGATATATGTCAACAATACAGATTCAGACAAACTAAAAGCTAATTTCCATTTTCATGCTGTGATGTGCTGTTTGGCATCTGCACCTTTTCTCCTTCAACAATCTTTAAATACTCTTTAGTTCTCTTTTGAACTGCAGCTCAATTGCTAAAAGCAAACATGTTATTTTTCAACTCTAAACGTAAGACTTTGAATTTCTTATCTTCCATCACCCAGCATTTTTAAGATTTTGAGAAAGTTTGATTATAAATACCTACAACTCTTTGATTGCTGATTCTCAGACTGGTTTTAATTAATTATTAATTAATTAATTAATAATTAATTAATTATTAATCTCCCATTGGGAGAAACGTTTAAAAGCCGACGTTTAGCGTATCCTTTTCCAATTCAAGTCTTTCTTTTAAAACCTAAAGATACATTTTACTTGTATGTCTTTTCACAATGAATAAAACCAACCAGATGGCTGTTAGATTCTGCTGCGACCATCAAACCCACTGTCATACCCTAAGTCAAAAGAGATTGTTTTTCTGTTTTTTTTTTTTTTTTAAATCTCACATCCACTAAAAAAAGCAAGAGCTTAGTATATGTGTTCATATAACAAACACAGTAAAGTGGGAACTGGATGAAAGCATGACAGTGGAAAATGGCTGTAATGAGCTGAAGGGAGGAGTGTTTAAGAATTAAGTTATTTACGTGTGAAATCGGCTCTAAGATCAACCATTTTTAGTTTAAAAAAAATCTCACTGACTGTGTTTGCACAAATTATTTAGAAAATGTCAATATTCTATATATAATATATCCTATATATTCTATAGGAATATCATTTGTCATGAATGTTTTGTTTTATGGCCAGACTGGTGCAGGTGTCTTTTTTTTTTTTTTTTTTTTTAGGATGGTCTCATTTATTCTATATTTTTAAATGTGTTTAAATCTAAGTGGCTGATTCTGTTCCAGTGCTGCTTTCTTTTTTAACAAGGGCACCTAATAGTGAAGATTTTAAAACTCTATCCATGTTAGGTAAATTGTAGATATAAATAATCTCCCCTCAGGATTCATTTTTCAGTATTACGTGATAATATTATGGCTCTCCTGAGAGATGCTGACTGCATAAATGTAAGCTGCTGTGCCCTCCGACCTTATTTTGACTTTTTTAAAGGCAGCAAACACAAATACACAGCTTAGTTTTTTTTTTTTTTTCTCTGCACTAAGACTTTCATTTTCCAATAAAGTTTATGGCTTATCTCTGACCCTAACCTGTGAATTATCTATGCGTATCCAACACAACCAGGCTTTGGTTGTGTTGGTTCTCATAATATTGTATAGGTTAAGAAAAGGTTTCTTACACTTTAACAAATGTTTGACCACACTTATTACATGCTATTGTGCAATTGCAGGCTCAGAACCTCTCCTCCTCTTCTTTCTTCTAGATCTGGTAATTAAAGAAGATCCTCTCTGCTGACCATGGATCGCTCGGCGAAGGAGCTGTTCCTCAACTTCATGATTGTCTTAATCACTGTACTCCTGATGTGGCTACTGGTGAAAGCCTACCAGGACTGAAGCATGGAGCAGCGAGACAGCCGAGAAGGAGGAGGCAGGGAGAATAAAGGGACTGATGGAGAGTGCAGCGTTTAAAACTGTTGGTACTGGTTAGATTTTGTGTATACAGTGTTTACATTTTTTTTTTGGTTCAGTTTCTTAGTTTATAAAATCAGATTTATATCTGATTCAGATACTTCCTATATGCTGCTTATGTATACATTGTCTGAGATGCATTTAGTTTCTAACAAAAATAAGAGGGGAATTCTTTGAGACATGAAATTTGAATGAAATTAAAAACAGCCTGCAAGCCCTACATGTCAGAGATGTTGTCAAATTAATTCAGACTCAGTAAACTATTGTTGTCGCCTCGTCTGTTCTGTTCGCTCTTAGACTTTTTGGTTTTAGTTTCATTACACTAGCTAGTTAGATGTTAAGTAAATGTGTTTTTCTGCTTTCGGGAAATGGAAATTATTGTAAAAAAATTTTAAAAAAAAAAATGCATTTTTTAACAAGCATAAATAATGCTGTTTGGTTTTATTTACCAAAAGAAATAAAACAGGACCTCCATAATCAAATGACAGGGTGGTCAAATAAAACTATCTTGTTTGACATGACGTTTTTTTCCATCCGACATTTTCAACAAACTGTTTAACAGCAGCTCTTTAACAGCACAGAAAATGTTTAATAGTAAAGATTATAAGCAGGAAATCTCACTGAAGAGGACGCAACACAGAAATATGTATATTTTTAGTTATTGCTACATCATTGAAGCAGTGTTTATATGATATATTGGCGTTTATCTTATGTTTATGCTTCTGGCCCAATTTTTGCTGCAATGTAAATTCTACCCTTATACAAAATAAATGATTCCTCTTTAGAAAAGCTGGCACAGTATATTATGCGTTGTCCACCTGCTTTCTTCACTACGAAAAATAATCTACTACTAAAATAAAACTTTTAAAATACCTTAACATGGTTTCTCCATGGGAGAATAAACATTAGGTGTTTCAGAAATACAGCTCTTATGATTGTGTTCACGTGAGAAACAAAAATAGCTGTGATCTTTGAGAAAAACGCTGATTGTTATTCTTATTTGAAACGTCAGTCATCCACATGGTGCAAACATTTAAAGCTTAACACAGACACGCAGGTTTATAGATGAAGGGAGTGTTGATTGTAGGCGATCATTCTGCCCATGGGTCCCTGTATCTGTTGAAACTGATGATCTGACAGTGGAACTCTGTGAGTCCTCTGGGCATGGGTGTCACTTCCTCCCATTGACTCCTCCCACTGTAGTACACCTGCCCAAAAACAGGCAAAGAGAAAAGAAAGTTCTTCTTTTAGCAGCGATCTGCAAGTAGTTTTTGACAAATCTTAGGAAAAAAATAGAAAATTCTCATTCATCTAAATTTATTTAATCATCAAGGGATTTAAGGGCTAAAGTTTACCTGAACCTCGTCTGTGATCTCATCAGGTGAGTAGTCTCCACCCAGTATGTAGATTCTGTCCCTCATCCCAACGGCTCCTGCGTTAAAACCTGCACATTCAAACGAGCCCTCACCCTTCCACACACAGGTTTCTGGGCAGAAACTGTAAACCTGAGATAAAAAAAAAAAAAAAAAAATAAAAAAAAAAAAAAAAGAGGATTTGAAAGCTTATCTGAAGAATGCATACAAAAATGTGATCAAATTGATGCAATTATACAACACCGGTCACCTTGTAGGTTGATAAATCGCAGAGGTGAAGTGTGTTGTTTATTGACACTGCCTTAACCAGTGTGGCATGGAAGAACTGCCCAAACTCTGCCACCAGGCGGCTCCACTGGTCCTGCTCGGCGTCGTAGCAGAAGAAGCAATCGAGTGAAGGATTAAAGGAGTCTGTGATCTCCACCTCAGACCCAAGAGTGTAAATCACGCTGCCACAAGCACTGGCCTCTGGGTAGAAGATGGCAGCTGGCAGCTGGCTGACAGAACACCAGCTCTGAGTCAGAGGATTATAATAGTCCACCTTTAAAGACAGATGGGACATGTTAAGAGACTGCTCCCCTTCTGAAAAAATAACAGATAACAATGAATGCTAATGATAATTTTGGAAACTCTGTTATACATCCAGCAAACTTGGGGCCTCCCCTCTGGTTCCCTTGGTTCGTCCCCCAATCACATACACCCGGTCCAGGCAGGTCACAGCTGTGTGCATGGTTCTGGGCTTCAGCATGGCTGGTGCAGGTGTACAGGTCAAGGTCACAGGGCAAAAACACCAAACCTCATCAGTGGCATTGTGGTAGGATTCAGCCACATGGAGGCGAATTGCCCGGCTGCAGTTCCCCAGGCAACCACCTGTGATAAACATCTTAGAGACAGTAGATAGAAGAAAAGTTGCTAAAAAAAATATATAATATATAAAAAAACATGAATATCAATATTTGAAAGAGAATCAGCAATATCCAGGATTATATTCTAAATTGACTAATCTTAAATCTCTAGTATTTTTTAACATCACCAGTCAAAAATAAGCTGGACTCCAAAGCCTACCTTCTCTGCATAGCTGTTGAGGTAAGACCCGGGTGGATCTGGCATGGGAGCCTCCCCAAACTCTGTTTGCAGCTCCTTCCACTGGTCTGTTTCCAAACAGTAGCAGAAGGTATGACGGTTCTCCCCGTTCTCCTCCGTCTTGTGAATGTAGATGTAGCTCTTTGTGGTCGAGGGCCTGGCATCAGTCAGTAGGCCATCGTACAGAGTCTGTCTGCTCTGGGCCTCTGATAGGAGTGTAAGACAGGAGTCGTCACTGCCGAGGAGGGGATCAGAATCATGCAAATTCTGTAAAGCCAACACAGACAGCATGAAACTATGAATAAATCAAAACTGAGCAAATTGAAAGAAAAGCATGGTTTGTTCAAATGATCTAAACTGATAATGGAAATAAGGTTAAATAATTTTTTTTAATCTCATTTAAACTCTTTCCTATCCTTAGGCACCAGGATTGTATGAATACATATCTTAAACTGACAACATCATAGCCTAACTCATTACGATTTTTAGGAAGCTGTGAACATGACCTTTTGTGGTTAAATATTTGATTATTTTCTTCAAACATTTTAAATATTCCATTCTCTACATTGCATTAAACATTTTATAAATAAAAAACAGAATCAGTTACACAAATTAATGTAAATTATTTTTTTTTATGCAGTTATAACCATACATACAGTTTTACACCCACACTAATTGGGGGGTTAAAAGTCTTTTAAAGAGCTACACCTCTACCTCACACTTTTTGTTGCCATCATCAAGCTGCTAGTATCTGACCACTCATCTTGGCAGACAAAAGTAGATTTAAACTGGTTCTTGTTCATGAATCTTTATGGCTTTGAAGAAAAGGCCAGAAATAGTCAGGACTGGAAGCACTAGAAGGGTCCATATTGGAATCCTGATTCTCAACTATTTCCAAGTTTCAACCATCCATTCGTCCATTTGTGGTGAAGCTGAAGAATCAGTCATTTTACTCATTACAAAACAGCCACACAGCATGATACTGCCAACGCTGTACTTGAAAGCTTCAGAATTATTCTTAAGTTTGAAAGACTCAGCTGACTGCAGTGGGGGGTAGTGGGCCGCTGTGGATGGAAAAATGCCAGGGCCGAAAATCGTTCCCAGTCCAACCCTCCTGGCTCTGAATCCTGAGCACATCCTAGACACCAGTTTTAGCCTCTGGATTATCCTGCCTTCCTTTGTCTGCTCGGTCCTGATCTGAGCTCCCTGTTTTCTATCCTCCAGGACTTCAACGTCTGGGACTCTTTGGGCGGCGCCCGCCACGTCTTGTTGGCAACCGACCGGCTGGAGCCAGTCTCTTCCTCTGGGCATGGACTGAAATATAAGACCAGGTTAATAACTCACATGTTCATAATCATCCACCTCAGGACAGAGGTGGACACTACCTGTGTTCTCCCCCTGCAGAGGTTCCTGCCTTAGATGCCGATGCTCTTCACTGCAGTTCCGTCATGAATAAATATTTTGTTAAACCTAACTGTCTTTCTGCCTCGTATACTGGGTCTTTTTGTTCTGAGCTTGACATTAATGGGTCCTCTTATTTGGTTTTCTGGATGACACCACCGAAAATGCATCAATATATTTTTTTATAAAACCCTTTACTAACTTAAAGCCTTACGTTATTTTCAAAATATCCATAAATTCTCTGACCCAATAAAGTGTAAAACATTGGCATAAACACTAATCCTTGTTGATTTAGCTTTTTTATACTCTTTTTTTTATTTTTTTTTTTATTTTATAGAATACGGTAGCTTTACAAAACAAAATGATAAACTTTTGGAAAAACAACACAATAATTATAAATAAATAATTCTGAAGCAATTTTAACAGAAAAAAATGAAAAAACAACAAATATAAATCCAATTACAATGCTAGTGTATTCGAAAAATTAGAGTCAGTTTTAAAGCAAATGCAGAAGAGACTTAAATCATAAAAAAAAAACTTTAAGAGAAAACATAATAAAAGTTTGATTTTATTAGTTTAGTTTAATTCATGACATATTAAACAACTGGGGTAAATTTTATTTTATTTGCATCATCACAGCTTAGTTATGTGAATATAGACAAAAAAAAGCAACAAAACCTCTAAAAATCTCCAAGACAGGAGGATGTTTATTATGCAGGAGTGGCTGCTTTCTAACTACACTGATGTCAGTGTGACAGAGACCCTGGTGTTCCAACATTTTCCAGTTCATTGCAGGCATTATGTTTTTTTGTGAGTGTTTTTTGTTTTTGTTTGTTTGTTGTTGTTTTTTTTGTTTTTGTTTTTTTTACAAATCCTCAACCAATTACCTTTCAAATATACTCAAACCAGACAATAACACCAAATTTGTAAGGAAACTTGCTTCAGAATTAAAAGGTCAGGATCCTACGATCACCTAGACTTCCACGTGATAGAAAATACTTTGACTATGCCAGGAATTTGGGTTTTCAACAGGAATTAAATAAATGTACATTAACTCAGCTATTTCTTCAAAAAAAAATTAAAATATCCAGTGAGGAAGATTTATGACGGCTACAAAGTGAGTTTTGAGATGCAATTCCCCTGAGAACAGTTAAACAAATTAAAGTGGGGGTGTATGAATGAATTTCAAGCTATATGGAGTAACTGTGCAAATTTAAGGATATTTAAAACATATTCACATTTCTGCTCCCAATTCAATATTCCTTGAAGCTGTTGGTTGTGTGATCTATACACCCTAATATCACATCCTTGTAAGAAACTCTGCAAAGAAGGACGGCTTGTACCTTCAGGGAAGCTGCAGGCAAGTGGTGTAGCCGGGTCAGAGACATCAGTTCTGAAAGGAGCTTCTGTCTCCCTGGCAGATCGTGGTGAATCCAACGAAGAAGAGACCTCAAAACTGCCTCCTCACTGGGAACGTTCAGAGCATCAGACTTTAGGCAGGCCTTTAAAACATTTTCCTAAATACAAAAACAGAATTGATAAAGACATTTTACAACAAGAAAATTGAAAATTTGTACTGAAGGATTTTTAGGATTAAAAAAAATCATTATACACGACGTAAAGATTTGGGCTTTAAATTTCAAAAGAATAGAACTGCTGCACTTTCAGCATGAATGCAGCATCATTATTCGTGTTTACCTGCATGTCCAAGAACTCCTGTGTTTTGGACAAATCAAAATAGTTCCCAATCACAAACTCGCTGGCACTTTGAAGAAGAGAGGCAGAGCCATATGCCTCTGCCAGGGACAAGAGGGTTAGACAATTGCAAAGATCCATTGTTCCAACAAGGAAGTCGCTACATGCCCTGGACAGGACAGGGACCTGAAGACAGAACAATTGAGATTCAGGTTTATTTATCCTAAAGAATGGAAACTTAAAGATTAGACCAAACAATGACATGCAGCTGAAGGTGGGAAGCTCTAAATCGACACAGGTTGTACATGAACCCAAGGCAGACTCAAGAATGAATGACCACAAATCTAAACCTGATGTAGAATAACATGTAAGACAGGATATCTAATGGATGCTTTGTTACCTGCAGAAAAGAGGCGAGCTGGAACAACACATCAACGTTGCCATCGGTGATAAGAATCTCTCCAGAATAGGCAAAATCCAGGAAGGAACCCATTGCCTTGGGGCACTGATTAGCGAGTGTTACGGTGCCATCATCACGCTCTCGCATATCAACTTCAAACATGGCCCTAAACACAACAGGAGTGCATGCTGTCATGTTAGCAAATGTGCGAACACAAGGACTGTTTGAATTTGGTGTAATACTGTATTCAGGTGCTGTGTATTCAAACCCTCTGTTCTAATAACCCTAGGAAAGACTTTAATTTTAACCACAGGGAGAGTGAGAGGGGTTGGTTGATAGTATTCAATGTAACATTTTCCTAATATTTTGCAGAAACTCTCTGAACACATGGAAAAGCATCATGGACCGTGAAGCATCAGAAGGTAGATTTACCTTCCAGCAGAAAGAATTGAGTTATAATATTAACATGAGTTCAT